TTTTTTTTTTTTTTGCGGAACCGGGGATTGAACTCAGGACCTTGGGCTTGCCAGGGAAGCACTTATTCCACTGAGCCATCTCCCCGGCCCCCTGGAGTACTATTCTGACATTAAGAAGTATTATCTTGAGATATTTCTAGCTACATAGATGCATCTTGAGGACACACTCTTAAGTGGAATAAATCTGACACAAGTGTAAATACTGAAGTATTTCTCTGGTGTAAGAAATTGAAAGTATAAATAAGAACCAAAATGTATAATAGATATTGTGAACTAGGAAAAAATGTTCAAATAGGAAGAACTAGGGATGGAGAGGGGGAAAAAGTAGGAGGGGTGTTATGGTTTGTGTCTAGGTGTCCCCCCCCCAGAGCCTCTATAGTCTTGGGGGGGCTTCTGGAGTTTGTGATTAATCACTGTGGGTGTGGCTGCTGCACCTGCCCTGGGACAGGTAATCTGCATTTCAGTGTAAGGAGGGAAGAGAAGCCAGCTGCTTGAGCTGCTGCTACCCCTCCCTTGGGCTCTTGCTCTTTGCCGCCACCATGAAAGGTTGCTTTCTGCTGTGTGCCACTCTGGCTTGGAGCCCGCTGAGTATGGACTGAAACTTCCAGTAACTGTGAGCTAAATAAACCTTTCCTTCCTTTATTTTGAGTGTTGGGTATTTGTCCCAGCAACGAGAGAAAAATGAAATGAAGAAGGGCTGGACATAGCTCAGTGGTTTAAGTGCCTGCCTCGCAAGCTCAAGGATCCGAATTTGATCCCTAGTACCACATGCTGTGCTGGCCCGGGAACGCCTGCCGACCACCACAACCGGGCATGGTGGCACATGCCTGTAATCCCAGCCCTCAGGCGGCTGAGACGGAGATCACTACGAGTCCGAGCTGCGTAGCGAGACCCTGTGCAGAATATTTTAAAAATAAAGCTTTTGGAAATAAGCAGGGGATGGGGGATTGTATGGGCGTTAACAGAATGGAGAAAAAAAAGAATTAAGTTGTGTCATGTACAGGTACAAATTCCCTATGATGAATGTGTATACCTAAAATGTACCAATAAGCGTAATTAATTAAAAAGAAAACAAGTCAGGAGGTCAAACATGTCCACTAGAGGGCGCCCCACCAAGTCTGCGCTGCTGCGAGCCTCACAGGGCCGCTCCTCCGCACCTGTCAGGATTCCCACGTGGGACAGAGGGGAAGTGAGGCAGTGGATTAAACACTGCGACAGAATCTTGTAGCTACCCAGCTAGCACTACCCCGGGCTGTCAGAAACCACAAAATCAAAGATTTAAAGGCCAAGAAACAGACTGAGCAAAGTTAACTAGCTGGTCCGAGTTCACACGCTCACACAGGGGACTCGATCTCACGTCTCCTCTCCAACCAGTCCCCTTTCCTGACGTCTGCGCCCCTTTGGGTTTGCACCCTGGAGCCTAAAATGTACCAATAAGCGTAATTAATTAAAAAGAAAACAGTAGGGATCAGTAAGGGTCCCTCATTTATTGGTTTTCTCTTATCTAAAGTGGAAAATAAATTTGCACTATCTGTTCCTGCGTTTGTTCCCCTCGTGGACTGTACGGTGCTTTCGTGAAGGGCTCTTTAGGTTTTAAGCCTAATATTGTCATTTTGCAAAGCGGAGCCCAGGATGTAAACTGTCCAAGATGGATCCCACCAGTCCTTTTTCTCCATCAGCACAACACTGTTATCTCAGATGCAAACTGCAGCAGTGCCTACCTGGAAGTGAGTCAGAGCTAGTCAGCAACAAAGCCTAGGGCTCGGGGAGAAGGGAGAGCTGACCGTCTGGGACCTTGCGAGCGGAAGCTCGGAGAGCCGATTCATGGCCCTCGCACCTCCCCGCGAACTCCGCGTTCCCCGGTTGCCTGGACGACAGGCAGCCCCCCACGAACCCAGCCTTCCGCTCGGTCCCGCCCCGGGAAGTTCTGCCATCCCGGATTGGCTGGCAGAGCCGGGCTCCTCCTCGGGCTCCACCTACTTGGGGGGCTCTCAGCCCTTCCCTTGGGTGGGGCGCTCCAAGGGTGACCCCACGCTGAGACTGTGGCAGTGAACCCAGCAGGTAGGCAGAGGGGTGAGGATGGTGGAGAGGTCCAGAAACTTATGTTCTCCAAGAGAGGGGTGAGAGGAGGCCCTTCTAGCACAGAGCCATCCCGCCCCTCCCCCAGCACTGCCTGCGGTGTCCAGGCGACCAAGAACTTCCTGGAAGCGTGAGACAGACTGGGAGACTGCAGTGAGTCTCCTGGCTCCTTCCAGCGGTCAGAAAAGCTGCATCCAGTCTTACATACCAAGTCCTTCCATCCCCAGAGCATGCCACCTAAGACCAAAGAAAAAAGGCGAAAAAGTGGGGCACTGAAGAAAAAAAAGAGCTCGGGTGCCGGTGAGTGGCAGGGGGAAATGGGTGCCCCTGCTTGCCTGTTCCCTGGCATGGAGCACACAGGGGTCCTCAGGGAGCTCCCAGCCCTCTCTGCGTGACAAGGTGGAGTTTTCTTGTCCCTCTTCCTGGCCTTGAACAGAGGTTCCGCAAAGCTGAGCAACTGAATAAATAATCACACACATTTCCTCTGAGTCCTAGCTATCTCTGCGCCTTCCTATAGATCTGTCACCCATAGGGGCTGAGGACACAGTGGTGACCTCAGCAGATTTTGTCAGTAGGGGTCCCTCATTTATTGGTCCTCTGATCTCATGCAGGAGCAAGTCCAGGGGGTAGGGCTGAGACGGCGGTAAGCTAAGTCAGGCTTTACCTTGCCAGGACAGATGTGGAGGCCGAGGCCAAGCACAGGCTGGTATTTCTGGAGAAGGAGCTGCTCCAAGACCACGTGGGTGAGAAGCGTGAAGACTGGGGGCATCAAAGGGGGCACATCGGCATTTCTGTGTCCTTGGGGGGGCTGAAGGATTGGAGATATGTGTGAGGCTGTGACAGGTACTTCCCATCACGGGTGGAAAAAGACTGAGCGAGGGCTGGGCAGTAAGGGCTGATGAAAAACTTCCCACCCCTGACCTGGAGGTTGGAGCCAGGGCTTGCTCCTGAGCCACATCCCCAGCCCCTTTTATTCTGTTTTGAGACAGAGTCCTATAAGTTGCCCAAGCTGGCCTTGAACTTGTGATCCTCCTGCCAGAATTTCTCAAGTAGCTGAGATTATAGGCAGGAAGGTACTTTTTTATTTTATTTATTTTTTTTAAAGGTATGTCTTTTTATTTATTTATTTATTTATTTATTTATTTGGGGGGGGGCAGCTCAGCCCACCAAGGGGCAGGGCAGGCTGGCATGTGGTGCTGGATTGAACTGCAGTCTCTGTGCTTTGCTAAGCTTGTTCTAAGTAGGTGCTTTAGACCACTGAGCCATCTCACCAGCCCCAGGAAGGTACTTTTTTAAAAAAATTATGTTATATCACTTATTTGGGTTTTTTGTTTGTTTGTTTGTTTGTTTGGGTTTTTTTGAGATGGTGCCTCACTATGTAGTTAAGGCTGGCCTTGAACTCACTGTATAGACCAGGCTGGCCTCAAACTCTAAATGATCCTCCTGCCCAGTGCTGAGATTAAAGGCATGCCCTACCACAGTGTCCAGATAGAAGGCACTTTTTTTTTAAACCAAAACATGGAGGGACTTTTTACTTTATAGTAACGAACAGCCCATGGCTGGTACCCTGCCGCTAGGTTTGCAGAGGTGAGCAGGGTTCATCAAGCCACGGAAGTGATTCTGTATGACCTGCAGCCCATTCTGAGGGTGGCTCTGGAACTATTCACAGCTGTGTGGAGGGATGAGGCCCGCCGAGCCAAGGCTTCTGAAGTCCAACTCAAGCAGAGGTTGCAAGGATTGGCAGCTGAACTGGAAGGGGCCCAAAGCGAAGGGAAGGCCATACTTAAAGGTGTGTGGTTGATCAAACAGAGAGTGGAAGACATGGGCCTGGAAGACGACAACTAAGGGGCCATGGATGTGGAGGGCCCTGACTGACAGGCCTTGCCTCAGTCAGCGTTCCCGGCACAGGAAGGATCCAAAGGCAGATCTCTGCCATCCCAGGGAGGGATCTTCCTGAGTGCCTGGTGTCATCAGCTTGATGCTTTTATTTTTTGATACCGGGAATTGAACCCAGGACTTTGTGCTTGCCAGGCAGGCATTTTTGCCCCTGAGCTATATATCCCTAACCCACACTTGATGATTTGTGGGGTACACAAAGCCATTCTGTCATCAGCCCATGAGTGGGGAGAAGGGCTGGAATCTCCATCCCAAGCTGGTATTGGGGAAGGAGTTCTGGGTCAGGGTCTTCCAGTGTCTCAGTCTCACCACAAGAGGGACCCAGAAGTTCCCATGCTTCTGTCCTCTGCACGCACCACCTCATTTCCTTTCTCTGTGCCTCTGTCCCCCGTGGATCCCTGGCTGACCACTGCCCCACGTCAGAGATGAGCCGCCAACACCGGGCCCTGCAGGAGGAGATGGAGGCCCGCAGCAAGCAGCTAGAGGAGGAAGTGAGGCTCCTTCAGGAGCGGTTAGGTAAGTTCCCCCCATCTTCCTTTCTCCTCAAAGGTGACCCACAAGGTCCAGCGTGAAGGATGTCTAGACAAGAAGGTCTTTCTCTGAAAGTTCGCCCTCTGTTGGCTGCGTGTGAATTTGGATGGCTTTCTCCTGACTCCCCTTTATATACCATCCTGAAAAGTTGGGTCCTTCACCCCTTGTTCCTCTGCTTGCTCTCCTCAGATTCAGCGTGCAGTGTCCTCCAGTCTGCGCTCCCAAGCAAAACTTATTCCCCCTTCATTTAACTGGCGTTTACAACATGACTAAGGAAAACTGTTATACTTGCTTGCTTCTCTGCCTTCAAGGCCTACCACCTAGAAAATCCTACATAACTACTTCCTAATTAAGTGAATAAACCCTCTAAAAAAGCAGAAATGTAAAAAACAAGAAGACTTTGTTTCTCTTCCCTCTTGCTTACAGGAAAGTTGAAATATCTTAGTGTGGCACAAGAGATCTTTCACAACTTTGGCCTCAAAGTGTTCTTATTCTCAAAGTGTTCTTCTCCTAAAATATCTTTAGTAGCTCTTTATCTACCATGCAAACTCTAAATTCCTTCCCTGTTCTTTGCCTTACTTCAAATCAGCATGTATTGAGCACCTCCTGTGTACCAGGCATTTTGCTATCCATTTTCATATTTAAGGATATGTATCATTTGCTCTTTAAAAATGAAGCAACTGGGGCCGGGGAGGTGGCTCAGTGGAATAAGTGCTTCCCTGGCAAGTGCAAGGGCCTGAGTTCAATCCCTGGTTCCACCAAAAAAAAAAAAAAAAAAGCACCTGAAGCTTAAGAAGAGTTATATCTCAGATTATACAAGTCATAAGTGGCAGCCAGACTTTGGACCTGTCTCCTGGGTCAAACTCACTATTTTTTTTATATCTGATGGGTCTCTGGCATTCTGTTCTGTTTTTTGTTTTTTTTTTCAATTTTGTTTTAGTTTTTATTTTGAGACGGGGTCTTACTGTGTAGTTCAGGCTGGCCTGAAACTCATGGCAATCCTCCTGCCTCAGCTTCCTGAGTGCTGCGAGTGCAGACTTTCTCCACCATGCCCAACAGGTCTTTAGCTTTCTGAGAGACTACAGGAAAGTTGATGATGACTCTGAGGGAGTATGAAATGATCCTGCCCATGGTGCCCTTTGAGGTACCTTTGGGGACTGTCCAGTGGGAGAGTGTCACCATCCTGTCATCTTTGATCCTTCTGCCCTACCTCCCAGAAACCTGCCAGACAGAGGCTGAGGCTTCAAGGAAAGAGGCTGAGAGAGCCCTTCGAGAGCAAGACCAGACCCTGGCTGAGCTTCGGGCCCACGTGACAGACATGGAGGCCAAGTATGAGGAAATCTTAGATGTAAGCCCCACCCCTACAGCCCATCTGCCTAGTACTCTGCACTCCTCCATCACCACACCCCACAGCTTGTGTGACAAGGGACAGCCCGTAGGAGGGTGCAGGGTCTCCTGGGCACTGTGCTGGGCCCCAGTGCAGGTGGAGGGGATACACCTGGCCTGTTGCTTTCGATGGATGTCTGCAGGGCAGCCTGGACCTGCTCTTGGCCAAGATGAGAGCCATCAAGCCTCAGTGGGACGAGGCCGCGCTGAGACTCCATGCCAGGCACAAGGAGCTGCTGTGCCAGTTTGGCCTCAACCCCCTGGATCTTTGAGCTGCTGGCCCCTAGTTTCCAAGGCCCAGGAATAAAGTACCTTGATGTAGAACCAAGCAGAGCTGTGAGATTGGCCTCTGGTAGGGAGGAGGCACAGTTCAGTTCTGAGTTGACCCATTATCCCAAAGGCTAAAGGACAGGAGAAAAATTGACAGAAACTGGATCCCATCCCTTCAGCCTAGGTTCTTGTGATTCCTTCAGGCCACCTCCCCTTTTCCAAAAAACCACAGACAGTCAGATGGATTTACAGGAGGAGGCTATTCTATGGCAAGACATGGTAGTAAGTAGGCACCTGCCCTCACAATTCTCAGGCGTCCACAGGGGAGAGTATAACTGCTGTCCAAATTCTTGTATTACACTGGAGTGAGATCTAGGCCAGCTTCCAAATGGTTTTAATCCTAGCCAGTCCCACAGTGGCCCCTGCTCAGGCAGAACTTCATCCTGGTGTGTGGCTCTGCAGAGTTCCACGACGTTCCCAAGTTTCCTCACAGGTCTTCTTCACTTCCCCTGACCACCTCCTCGGCTGGACAGGAGCCCATAGAAGGGGAGGGCACCCTGGGAAGTCCCAGCACTGATACTTTGGAGTCCTCCAACTCCCAGCTTTGAGCATCTCTGTTCCCACCACCTCAGGCTGCGGAAGGCAGACGGGAAGCTGCCTGCAGATCTGGTAGATCTGTGCTAAACAGAGTGCTTCTATAGCAGATCTGAGGCCAGAGACCAGTCCTGCACAGAAAGGAAGGTCATTCCAGGAGAAGAAGAGTTCCATTTCTCTGCCCTGACCTGTCCTAAAATGTAGAGTAGTACTTACTCCAAACGTCCCCACCACCCATAACCTAAAGTCCCCACCTGCAACCCCACACCATCCCCCCAATGGGTCCTTTTCACTGGCTTGTTTTTGCCCTTCTTTGGCTGTTCACAGTTCTATCTGTTACCCCTTACCTCTCCAGACCCTGGGGGAATCCAGGCATCCAAGCCCTTTTGAGACCTAGCTGCCAGTGTCAGGCAGAGGGGTGGTTCAGCTTCGGCCAGCTGCTGGAGCCTTTCGGGGTCACTGTCACCACCCACAGGATACCCGTTCAACTCCAGAACCATATCTCCCATTTGCAGCCCTGCCCTGGCAGCTGAGCCTCCTGGGGTCACCTGGGGGTACAGGAGGACATGTAGAACATGGGATGGCATGGAGAAGTCTTCTGGGTGCTCTGAGGCTCTGGGAGGGAAGCAGAAGTAGGCTGATGGGGAGGTAGAGATGGAAAAGATCCAGGGTTCATGGGGTCAGTCACCTGAGAGATGAAGAGACAAGGCCCCCTGCTCACACAGCTGAGTCGGAAGCCATAGCCACCTCCGGGCCCAGGGTACAGGAAGCACCGGCTTGAGCCAGGAAGACCACGAGATGTAGCTCTGTGCTCCACTGGTTGGTTCTCACTCTCAACCGGAGAGGTCAAGTCTGTGGCCTGGAGGAAGGCAGCATCCTCTGTAATCTCCAAGAAGAGGAGTGGGGACAGGCGAACCTGAGGGGCAGACGGAAGAAAGCTGTTGCACTCAAGCCCTGCTCCATTCCTGTGCGTTCACTGGCCCTGTTTCTCAGCACCTACCATGCGGAAGAAGCGGTCAGCCTCAGGGTCGACAACAATGAGGGAAACGTGAGAGCCCTGCTCCCGGATCCTGGACACTGTCTCCTCATGGCCCAGCGCCTCCACGCTGTCCCCAGCCACAGCCACCAGCCGGTCCCCTGCCCGCATCCCGGCCTTCTCGGCCGGCAGCCCTGGGTCCACCTCCCGCAGGAACTGCCCTGGGACATACACATCCTCACTACACCTCCCCATTTCACCTGGCTGCAGACCCAGGTCACCGTGTAGACAGCAGGGGAAACAGAAGGAGAAGGCCCTGGCTTGGGGCTTAGAGAAGGGTCCCACTTTGTGTCCTAAGAAGCAGATGCATGCAGCTTGTGCCAGCTCAAGGTCCACCTTCCCTTCCCACCCCAGAGCTCCTACTCACCAAGGCGACCATCAATGTCCTTCTCCTCCCGGAGAAGGAACCCAAAGCCGTTGGGCCCCTTCTCCAGGTGCAGACAACGGGGCTTGGCAGGCAGTGCCCAGCCCTCTGCTAAAGGTGCAGCTAGGGGCATTCCCAGCTGGCGACACTGTTCCTCCACCTCTGGCCCTGCTACCAGCAGAGTCACCTGCTTTCCACTCTGCCAAAGCTGTGAGGACCCAGTGGGGCACCAGCATTAGCCATCTGGATAGGAAGGGAAAAGGCGGGCACCTCCTCACAGCCCCTCCTCCCAGGCACAGGAATGAGGCACTGAGCAGGAGGGCCTGGCATGAACTGGAGGGGGAGGGACAGTGAGGGATGCAGACCACCAGATGAGGAAAAAGGGCACTGGCGCAGGAGTGGGCTGCGTGCTGTGGGACCCACCCAGATGGGTGGAGGTGGAGCAAGAGCAGCCGTTACCTTCCTGCTGAGCTGGTTATATGTGAACTTCTCCACGCTGACTCCATTCACTTCCAGCAGCCGGGCCCCTGGGGGCACCCCTGCGCGGTCGGCTGCTCCGCCTGCACTCAGCACCAGCCAGAAAGGACCCTGGGCTCCTGGACCCAAAAATGAAAACCAGAAAGCAAGTTCCAGTCTGCTGCCTACCCAGAGCAGAGTCTCACATCCCCTTCTCGACCATGGACTTAGCCTCTAAGCTCACCGTGGGTGACACTGAAGCCAAAGCCACCCTCATCTTTCACTATATGGCACAGCCGGGGCCGGACCCTTGAGCCTAGGACAGGACAGAGGTGGGCATCGTTCCCCCGCTGAGCTCGGGCCACGTCATACACATGCCTCGCCAAGACGGTCAGCAACACCCGGGGACCACTGGCCCGGATGTAACGCACCACCTTAAACAGAGGCATGTGGGATGAGAGGAGGCATCCCCTTGCCAGTTCCCAGGACCTCCTTGGAACTTACATATTGCTCTGTGGAAACTAGCCTCTAATGCGTTTGCCCAACTGTTCTTATCTGGCACCCCTAAAGCCTGGGGGTGGGGCTGGGGTGCTTGGGCTGTATACCATGTTGCTAGGGAGGTGGCTGACCAGCTTCCCTCCAAGGGTCTAGGGAATGCTCTCCTGGCCCACAGGTAGACCCATCCCAGCCTCACCACCACATGGTCCTCATGTTCCACGACATTGTTGTTCACCGCCAAGATCTGGTCTCCTTCCCGGAGACCTTGGCGATGAGCAGAGGTGCCTGGCTCCACCCTGCACACCTCGTGCCCAGTCCTGCCCAGCTTCTGCTGCAGGTGAAAACCAAAACTCTTGCCCTCCTCTTTGCTCAGCAGACAGAAGCGAGGCCTCTCCAAGTTCCAGGGATCTGGAGGGAGATGGGCAGCAGAAAAGGGAGAGGGGAGGGGGCACAGCCCAAGTACAGTCCACTACATGATGGAGCTGTAGCCTCCACCCAGCGCCAGGTTGGGTAATGTGGCTGATGTGTGGGCAGGATGCCTGGGACGGAGGAAGCGCTGCCCCCAGCCCTGCTATTCATAGGCACTGATATCAGAAGGAGGCAGAGTGGTTACCAAGGAGATAGGAAGTCATGCCTCCAGGAAAAGGCAGTGGTGGTCAGGGGGCAAGAGAGGGTTACCAGAGGAGTTGTAGTCTTCGGCCAAGGAGAGGACTGGATTGTCAATGCCCAACTTTGGGTTAAACTTAAACTTCCTGCAAGGAGGCAGGAAAGGCAGAAGCAGCTGGCAGCTGGACTTGGGTCCTGAGCTGTCCTGGGTGCTAACGCTGAAGAGCCCCTCTTGCTGCAGTTTCTTCCTCCCCTCACCCAACCTTTATGTCACTTACAGAGATAATGACGCTGTGTCCTGAAGATCTACTGGACAAAGAAGTAGGTGAAAAGAAAGGCAGCTCCCCTCCCCCCCCACCTCTTCTGTGCTCATAAACTGACAGGACTTGGGGAACCCCAAACCAAATGTTTCCCCTGTTCAACTACAAAAGGGTTCTCTCTCTCTCTCTCTCTCTTTTTTTTTTTTTTATGAATCTCATACAGGCAGGGTAATGTCTTTCCCCTAACCTTCCCTCCAAGTTGTAGCTCATAAATCTGAGCATATCAGTACAGGGTGTGGGCCAAGTAAACAGAAACACCAACTCACTTCTTTCCTCCTAACGTCTTGGTATTTGCCTGAGGGCTCCAAGCCCCAACATCAGGTGTCCCCTAGTCCCAAAGCCTCCAAATCTGCCCACCAACCCCAACTGCCCTAAGCACCCTCCAGAGGATATTCCCGGCCTCCTACCTGCAGCTGCCTCCATAGTTGGATCAGTGACCCAGTGCTTGGGCTAGGGACAAGGTCCATTGTAACCAGCTGACCCACCTACCCCCTCCCAAGTCCCGCCTCCTTGAAGACGCTGTGGTAGAGGCCACAGGGTAATGGTTAACATTGATGAGAGTCTTATCCACTGGGGAACTGTGCATGTTCCTTCTGCTCATTCCTGGGCCCCAACTTTCTCCAGAGGTCCTGTACTGAACCCAGTTGCCCCTTAGCACATAAAAGGGCAAACTGCAAGCCCAGCGAGGAGGTAAGGATGAGAAGGGAGCTAGGAGTGCTAGGGGCCGCCACGGACAAGCCCATCCCAGTATCTTGTACAGGAGCCCTCGCCAGCCCTTGCAGCTTCTGAACTGAGTGTCCAGGAACCCTTGCAACAGAAAGGCTATCAGCACCTTGATAAGAATGACCAAAACCAAGGCCCTTTCTTGGAAGCATCAAGCAAGGAAGTGGAGGCTTGATAGGTGGAAGACACTCAGCTTTTTAATAGCAGTTTGGGTGCACCTGTCCATGGAGGCCACCAAATCGTTGGTACCAGTGTGGTGCACGGAGCAGGAGGGCCAGGGAAAGCACCAATGTGACGGCCTCCTCAGTGCCTACAGGTGAGCATAAGGCAGGAGCGAAAGGCCTGCGGTGGCCCTTGTGAGAGGTGTACCCCTCAGTGGCACAATCAGAGGCTGCTCAAGTAGGAGAGACAAGAGGTGGTGGTGCCACAGAGCAGTGTAGCCACTCAAATGCCACATCCTCAGTCCTGCCAGCCAACAGAAGAGGCATGCTCCATCTCCAAGGCGAAGCATCAGCTTGCTGTCTCCAGCTGTGACCCCGGAAATTCCATCTGAACACACCCTGTTTGGACATGGCCTAGGAGGCAACTGGCACAGCTGCACCCCGTGCTTTGCCTCCAGCTCTGAAGCATCATAGACTTCTATATATCCATAAAACTCTGTATTCATCTATCTATCTATCTATCTATCTATCCATGAGAGATGAGAGCTAGGTCCCCAGTCCTTTGTTTCTTTATTTTGAGATTGGGTCTCACTAGGACCTGAGTTCAACCCCCA